GAAATTGAAAATGTCACTATAAACAATTTTGAAATTCTGATTTTTAAAAGAAAATGATATGGATAATCTGTTGAAAGTACTCATAAAAGTATTTTTGTCCAGCCTTTCCTATTTATTCAATAAAAACAGCAAAGTTTAATATTATTTACGCAATAAATGCCTACTAAATTCCATATAAGAGTATGAGAGAAATACTCGTATAGCAATCTCATTGTATAATTTTTTTAAATGTTTGTAATGGAACAAATACAGCAAAGGAATAAACTGTATCTAATTGCAGATGCATAAGAGACAAATGTTTTTCAATATCTTGGTAATTCTTTAAACTCATCTCTTATCAAGGATTTAAGTATGAAGAAAAAAACAACTAAAAATTCTTTGGCCCCATAAGTGGAAACAGAGGTGGCAAAAGGAAAATGCCTACATGCCATTTGACCTCTATCCAAAGAAAATCATGTGAGGAATCTGGAGGAAAGGCAGAAGATCCAGTAAATAGATGTTTGAAGTTGGTGAGGGATCCTGGAAGGAGAATGTCTGAAATCTTTTTGTTTGGAAAGAAAAGATCAATGTCCCGTAAATATCTAAGACATTACGATAGCACAGAATGTGCTTGCCTTTTTATATGGCAACAGAAGATATGTAGTTCAAACCATATGTATGGTGAAGAAGTACTTTGCTCCACAATAAACTTCTCACATGCAGAAGTTTATATCTGATTATCCAAAATTACATTGCAAGCAAAATGAGAATTTTTCCTAAGCAATCAGTAAAAACTAATAATCAGTGAAATGAAACACTAGAACCTTCCCTGAGATGTTTAAAGAACATACAGAACAAGCAGAAGAATGGCAAGATGGATACAAGTCAGATGCCAGGAGGACTTCAAGAAGAAATTTTCTGCAAAAGCAGGAACATGCAGAATGAAATAGAAAAATGGATCATGAAACTATATCAGCAGATGCTAAGGACAGAGTGCAGACTTCTAGATTTGCTTGCAGTAAAACCACAATTTTCTTAATCTCTTTTACAAATATTTGGTAACAATTGGCCACAGCTTCATTTGAATGTGTCAGAGAGATGAAAATGAATCTCAGCACAGCTCAAGTTAAGAGTGATGATCAGACAAAAGGCTAATATAAGGCACTCCAAACCCTGGAGAGTTATGAGTCATGCATCCACTATACTGAAATGCTCATGTGAAGTTGAGCTTTCCAGGAAATTTCCCAAGGGATGATATAAGACAAGTGTCCCACTCATGCTGCTTGGCTTGTTCTGAGAGAAGGCATTGCAAAAGTTAGAGACATAAGTTTTTTCAAAGGATCAGCTAATAAAGATCTAAGTCATGCAACAAATAGACAGGAAAAGCTCAAATTCCCAAGGAAACAGCCACAAAAAGAAACAGAACTGCTGATTGCAAAAAGATCACAAGCACAGATGTATCTGCAGCAGGAATCTGAGTAAATTTTCACAAGAGAGGGATTACTTGAAATTTACAGAGATATATTATTATTATTATTATTTAGGAAAAACAAATGAATAACAAATCTGCTAAGGACTAGATCATCAAACCAGCCCATCACCACAAGCCTGCTGACAGCCAGACAGAAGAGACATCCGAAGCAAATAGGAAGCTGCATTGAAATGCCATTTCACCTTTGTTGGCTGAGGAAAACAAGCAATGGAAAAAATGTCATATGGACACTGTGTAAAAATTCAGAAGTTATAATATTATAGGCTTTTATCCTGTGTTTATATCATTCATTTTTGTCAACGAAAGTTTGTTAAATCTGCAGATGACAATAATGTGTGCACTAAGGGGAGATGCTTCTGGAACACACCAGATTATAAGTCTGGAACCAAAAAAGTTACAGATGTGCTAGAGTTAAGGTGTGGGGAGAATTAAAAAAATATAAAAAGTTGAAAGTACAAAGACAAAATCCTACATGTGAAGTTGTACAGATAACACTGATAAGAAATTACAAAGTGTCACAGAGGAACTTGGGAGTTACAAGGAATCACAAGCTGAATATGAATTAATCATCTCCTGCTGTTGTGAAAAAAGAAAATACTGAATTGGGGCACATTGTTCGAAAGATATATGAAACACTTTGTCCAGTCTATGCAGTAGCAGTAAAGCCTGACACTGCGTTCTGTGTTTGGCCTGGGCACATCATTTCCAGAAGGACACAGATGAGCTGGAAGGCATACCTGAGAGAAGTGAGAATTATTATAGCATTTGTATTATTATATGGCATTCTGCGTGGAGGACTTCAATTCCACACCTTTCCTTCATATGTACTTTTATGTCAGATGCTATTTTGTCAGATTGCCCCTCTGCTGCCATCTGTCACTCGACAACAACATGTAATGGAATATTGTCAGGAAGACTCAATGTGTATTTCCATACCACCAACATCTGCCTCTGACATCATGGGTCAACATAATGAAATAGGAGGCATTACTTTCAGTGAAGCCCTTGTATATATTAATTACATACTCATGCAAATGTGAGATGTTAGTACTTCGCCATTTACAATGGGAAGAATGGATAAGGCTTGTGCTCATCGTGCTGATCATAAACCTAACATATAAAAAAACTCTTATGTTACTGTTCAATTCAGTAACATTATTTTGTAAATGTACTGACTTCATCCAATGACTGCATTATAATTACTTTTATTCCATTTACTGAAAATATTAATTATGGCAAACAAAACAGCCTGGAGAAAATATCTTTTTTCACAATGCACTCGCAGCTATTGATCTCAATTATCCTCAGATGCAATGAGATAACTATATTCATGTTGACAACTTTTTCTCCTTCCTGAACATGTTACTTGCCTCCAAATAAAGCATGGATTACCATATTGCTCCATTTATCATGCACACTTGAGACTCTAGGTTCTGGAAATCTTTTAGTTAAAGCCCTAGAAATACTTAACATCAGCAATTATTAAGTGATGTAATGCAAGAGGATACAAGGATAAACAATTTGAAATATATCTAAAGCATTTCTATGGCACTTGATTTTACAGATATTTATTTCTTTCTTGCCTGTACAGAGCTTAAAAGGCAAGCAAGTTACAGAACTTTTTCTCCTAATGTCTCTGTTAAGAATTGTTGGTGCTTTTTACTGCTATTCCAGATCTTTTTTAGAAAACAATTTTTATAAACAACTAAAACAATGATGTCAAATATTTCAAAAATGTCTTAAAATGCAAATGATTATAGAAAAAGAGAGCTTCTCTGCGAGTCCAAGCTCCGTACACAGCATTGTTTATTACAGCCTCAGTCCTAGCGCCTGTCACTGGCTCACAGTTGAGATAACGGCACATAATTGAGATTCTTACGTGTTATTCTTCTGCCCTTTTCAACAGTTGCATTAACCAGGTCCCTTCCTAGCCCTGAACAACCCCTAGGTAATACAGCAACTGCTAACATGGAAAAAAAAGCCACCATTAGGAATGTACTTTAAGAAGTACTGTTGAATACACTACTTAAATTCTAAGAAGAAAACTGTAAGGGATGCTCTTAACTCACTGACTTCCATTTGGAAATAAGACATCTTATTGAATGCATGAGGGTAAATAGTATGCGCAGAACAATCTGATTTCCAGCTGGCACAGGTCAGCTTGCACTCTGACCTGGCCTGAGGCTGTGTGCAGGTGACATCCACAAGCTCCCTGCCTCTTCAGTTTCAGCTGAGCTCCATATTAATTTGGCCATAAGCAAACTCATATCAGTGCAGCATAAAGTCCAGCAAGATTCTCAGCATCTGCTTGCAGAAATACTTTTCAGACATGTTCTCTTAGAACCTACTGAATGTTGTAGACATAGGCCAGCATGGGCTCAAAGACTAGTAAAGTCTATCCCAATTTTCTCAGAAAAAATGGCATGAGCATAGATCATAAAGAACTCAAGACTGAATACAGTACAACTGCTCTACAGATAATGCTCATACACAGAGTTGTATTTTAAGACAGCTTAAAGCCTCAGTCCAAAAATAAACATAAATAAAATACCATTGTGCTGAGTATGAAGGAAAACTATGTTTGCACAAACAGGCCTCAGAATACACAGCTCTGAGGACAGCTCAGTCTGAAGAGTGAACATTTGCTTACTATTTTTGGAGGCTGTTTGCTTCCTTCAGAAGCATGTTTAGTGTGCTTCAGTAAATCCAGCCATGCAAATGAACATGCACGAAAGTTCCAGAGAATATTTGTCCGAATTTTGTTCTGAATTTTCATTGAATTGTTGAAAAAAATTAAATTCGGGATCAAGAGAGCTGTAATTATTTAAACAGACTTAATTTCAGTTGATGAGTTGATGGAAGGAAGATTTAACAAAAAAAATCCATAGGTTTTTAAATTCCATTTTATTTTATTTCCAAGTCTAGTCTCCCTAATGCATTTTCCTGCTGAAAAAAAACCAGATCGATTTATTGACTGTGACTATTCAAATCTTATCACTTCTTATTGCTTACTGTGAGTCAGAGATTTAAAAAAATTATGTATTTACTGTTCTGTATATAGTCCCATCTAATTTCAGCCTTGAACATAACCTCCATGTGACTGAGAGCCCAGGCATTAGACCTATGCTCTTTCTATCCTACTACTTCAAGTTTCAAGTGAGTAGCCACGCTTATTAGGAAACAGATTTTAGAGTTTTATGGACTTAAGCTCATTAAAATCAAAGAGAATATTTCTGGGTATTTTCAAGATAACTGATTAAATTTCTTTCAGTACTTTATTTGCTTCTCTTACAGTGTGAATGTATTCATTTACATGGTTATGGCTGCTGAATCCAGTGATAAGTACTGTAAAAAAAAAGTCTGAAAATGATTCTCCTTTCTTTCTCCCTGAAAGAGATTGGTCTATTGTTTAACAAAAGCTGCCAGATATGATATAGCAATTATGAAAAGGCCTTTTGTTTACTTCATCAGCAGCAGACCTTAAGAAACCATCTTCATGTAAAAGTATGCAATGTTGAATTCATCCTACCTTTAGCTGTACTAGATGCACATCCACATGTCTGCTATCCGAGTCCTGCTGGACAGAATAAGTCAGATCCCTGACTCTTTCAGATGTCATTCGAAGCCATGTCTCAATTTCTGGCAAATGAAGAACAATCTTCCAATCAGCCCCAGTGTGTAGAGGAGGTGGCTTGTCATATTGCTGTCCAGAATCAAGCTCTTTCATGACATCCTCTTCCCCATCTCCATCTACTGTAGGAGTCATGTTTATAAGCATGGGAGAAGTATCAGATGGCGTGGGGTCCAGATCTTGTGTTCTCATAGGAGAGAGTGCTACATCCATGGCTAACACAGGAAAGTTTAAAACATAATTCTTCAGTACCTATCTGTAAGGACAAAAAAAAAAAAAAAAGAGACTGCTGTTATGAGACCATATTTACAAAAAAAACAAAAAAAAACAAAAAAAAACAACCATTCAGTAGACTAGAAGTAAATGGAAAATTCAGAGAGGTATCATCATACCTCTCACATAAATCTTTCAAGTTGCACATCCAACTGACAAATTTGAGAATGAACAGATTTTCCAAATTAGCTTTCATAATTAGAACAAACAACTTCCTTAAGAAAAATAACATTAGCACATTTCTCCCACTGTAGAAATAACAGCTTTTATTCACGAAAAAAAACGTACAGACTTTCTACAATTACAACAAACAAACTGAATGTCCACGAAGTTACTGAACTCCACAAGTTAACAAGGGTCTCATATTTGTAAATTAGCACATATTAGTACATATTACTTGTCCTGAAAGTTATGACTAAACAAAACATATCTCAGGTTTCATGGAATTTCTTTTTGCAATTGCCTACTCAATGGTCATTTACAATAAAATTTTTGGAAGATACACTGGGATGCACAGCATTTCCCAGGATCCACATGATTTCCAATTCTGGGTGATGGGAAAAAAGATCTCTGGTCTTTTTCCAGGAGGCAAGGGGTAGGGGGCCTGTCAATAAAGATTCAGATGGACTTTTTCTCTCCTCCGGTTTAATTTTTGGTTCATTTTATTACTCTATTAATTATTCTGTATTATCTCACATTCCTTTTAATAAACTACTTCTCCTACTTAATTGGCTTTCTCCCTCTTCCCTTTCCCCCCTTTCTTCCCGAGGAGGTGAAGGGGTGTCACATTATTAACTCTTCAAACCATGACAAACAGTAAATTTTTGACAACAAATTTGTATACTTGGTTAGTCTGCTTGTAGGCAGACTTCGGTTTTGAAATTTAAATTCTTGTAATTTTGTTAGATTAATAACTGTTGCAATACACAAATCTCTATCAAAATATATAGATAAGAATTCTATACTTAGGTGTCAAAATGCATACTTAAAATATAGGAGTGACTGGTCTCTTCTCACCGGTGACAGGACAAGGGGAAATGGCCTTAAGTTGCAACAGGGCAAGTTTAGGTTGGATATCAGGAAAAACTTCTTTACTGAAAGGGTTGTTAAGCATTGGAATAGGATCCCTAGGGAGGTGTTTGAGTCACCATCCCTGTGTTTAAAAACTGCTTGGATGTGGTGCTCAGGGACATGATTTAGCAGAGGGCTGCTAGTTAGAGTTGTATGGTTAGGTTGTGGCTGGACTCAATGATCTCGAAGGCCTTTTCCAACCTGACTGATTCTATGATTCAATTCCATGATTCTATGACTTTATTGAAGTCCCAGATCTTTATGTTTTCAGCATACACTTACAATGTTCACTGGAAAAAGGAAAACATTTTGCTCTGTTCCTCTTCTTCTGTAAGCTCTAGCTACATGTAGAAGGCTGCAGTAGACCTTACACCCAAGGAAAGATAAGAATACATAACAGAATGGAGTCAGACTTAGAGCTAAGTAAAGAATTATGAAAACTTGAATTTAGCAGGAGATGCAATTTCAGAAAGATTCAAATTTGATACATTAGAAATACTTTAATTACATTTTAGCAACTTACGCTTGCATCTCCATAGTGCTAAGATCACAAAAACAAAGAATGTAGCCATACAGCTATTACTTTGGGCAAAATCCCAACTCTTTTATGGGTGATTAAAGAGTACAGTTTTGTTTTTAGCATAACAGCAATAAGACAGCAGAAAAAGCACCAGTGATTTTTCACTACTAAATCAACTATGCTCTATTGAGTTATATTCCTAACTATTTCAGTAGTATTCAGTATTCAATGACTACTCCTGCAGAAAGTGGGTACCAAGGAGGCACCCAGGCATCAGTCTACTTCTCATAGTTTGGAAGGTGGGGGGAGAGGGGAGAAAGGGAAAAAAAAAAAAGTCATTTACTGTTCGCTTGATTTTAGGGCCTATCCTGCTCCTATTTAGTAATTTATCTTCTGCACATCTATCACTCCCTCAAAAAAATATTTGAAACCACTCTCAAGCTGGTTAATATTAATTTAGCACTTCAGAACAAAATTTCTATCTGTGCAATCAAAGGAAAGAATGAAAAATTTAAATCACTCTCAGTCTCTGCTGCACAATTTCCAACTCTTTCAGCTCAATTTTGTAAAACGCTTCTGAATAAGACTCTGTCAAACAAAAAGCTTTATAGAAAGACTGCATAATATTAATGTTTCAGGATACTGAGCATCTCTCATATCCATCTCTTTTCATATCCCTTGTTTTTCAACTTGAATGCTGTTGCCATACATACACCAAATATATTTTGTTAGACAAAACTCTATCTGAAGACATTTTCCCTTAAATACTGTTGCTCATAGCCCAGGTTTATAGCATATAAATCAACTGTTCCATCAGGTAAAAATATCTTATTTTAGACATATCCTTCACATGAATTCCTCTCTCAAAAAGAGACATTACAGTAAAGTTGATATAGTCTTTATTTTGGTATGTTTGTCAGCAATAGGTTAAACAAGTCCACCAACAAAAAGTTGGGCTCAAATCACTAAATGATGCAGAAACACAGAAAGTACAGCACTTGCTTAGTGTGTGTGTGAAAAAACTACAAAACCCACTGGCACTCCGCAAGAGTTTTTCTAACATGACTCAGCACTAGCGAGGACATTAAGGCAATTAGCAAACAGAAATTAAAGCATGCTGCTGAAGAAGCAAACAAAAGACAACGCATGAGGCATACATAGCACAGCTCCAGCTCTAATGCAGTGCATTCGCAACCAGCACCCGCCCAAAACCTGCTGACCTGGGTGCTTTTACGATCGTTCGATTTTACTCAAGCTCACTGGCATTACAGCTATACCTCCTCAATCATAGTCACTCTTAGAGTCAAGTTCTTTAAGGCTTTTCTCTCTGGCAGATAATATAGCAAGTTGCAGCACTTCAAGAAAGAAAATGAAAAAGAATTTAAAAATAGATAACTCAGTACGGTCTCTTAAAAAAAAAAAAAAAAAACATACAAAGGTATTACAACACACTGGCTACTAATTATCAGGGTCTGGGGCACCTTTAAAAAAAGCCTACACACGCTTGAAAGGAGAAACCGTCACTGCTAGGAGCAACTGAGCCGGAACACCAGCATGCAGACTGATTAGTACGCAGACTCAAGATATCGCTTCCTGGCAGAATAAAAAAGGCCCTGTCAGGCAGCTCTAGTGCAGGCAAGGCAAAGCAAAAGCTCCTCCTGCTCCCTCCAAAAACTGAGCACAAAAAATCACGGCTTCCCCGGAAGACTCCCGAAACCAGAGGTGAGAGCAGGCCCCTTCCAGCTGCTCTCTGGCCCAAAGAGATGCCAGGTGGCTCTGTGCCCTCCCTGTGGAGCCATGTCTGGGGTAGCCCTGGGGGGCAGATGGAAAAAGCAAAGAGCCCTGCTACAGAGGTGATGATACAGGTGCAGGGTTCCGCTCTCTGGATCACTGAACATGCTTATGCTGGGTGGGCTCTGACCAGGTCAGCACCCTAACAGAGAGCTGCACTCATAAGATTTTGTTAAGCCACCAGCTCCTGAAGATAAGTTATCTGCTTGTCACACAATTCTTATGTACACAATTGCATCTGTTGACCCCAGCTGTATATTTTTTCCTCTCAATATCCTAATCTTTAGGACATAAATTTATACAACACAAGCATGGAAGGTAAAAACAGCAAGATAGGATGTGAAGTCCTGCTTTAACTGTTCCAGTATTTGAATAAAGTAGTACCAGTGAAATCAATAAATCTCAGCAATAAATTTTGAGACTTAAAATTTTTTTTTGAACAATATATATTAAATCATTTGCTAGGAAATGTATGAATGGATAAATCACATCAAACAACGCTTTGGTACAAGTATTACAATGCTAGACATTTTGTGTGCCTGACTTCAATTACTCAGTTTGTTATATTTTTGGTTTACTTTTCCAAATTCTGTGAGATGCACAGATAGCAAACTGTAAACCATTATAAAACACTTATTAAAACTGAATACATTTATTCCAGTTACTCTGTATATGATCCTATAGAAAAAAATACTTTGAAAAAAAGGTACAGCCATACTTGCCCGTCCTAGCAGAGTCACTATCACAGCTGAAATTCTTTATAAAATGAACAGCTAAGTCTGGCTTTCTACAGTGTCAAATTCTGATAGCACTGGTGACAGTTTTAGGCAGCAAGCAGTGCAAAAATCAGAGGCTGGATTTCCTGTCAGCCGAATTCTTTCTGTACCTAAAGTATCTGTACAAACTATGTGGCTTTAAACCTGCAGATGGACAGCTGAAAACATATTTTCAGATGTCACAATCAATAAAAGTTCATGTATCAATATTTTCAGGATGTAGCCTTTTATCATCATTGTTATCAGTGTAGGAATGATTTATGACTTCATTATTTAAAAAATACAGCTCAAATTACTTATTTTCTATCACTTCTGAAGCTACCATTTTAGTACACTAAAAGGATACATTTATAAATTACACAATACAGCTAAGAGTTTGGACCTTTCTGATTGTAGAAAAAATTACATAGATGAATAAAGAGTAAATTTTTTCCCAATTCCCTTCTATACCGTTCTATGTTTTCATTGGTACTTATATGAAAGGTGAGAAGTTCTGTGTAAGCACATGCACACATATGCTTTCTATCTTCATATTCAGTAAGTGCATTATGCTTAACAGATGGCTGATTACCTTCCACTAATCACACAGGCAATCTTGCTCTCCCCTGGTTTTCCGCTCAATCAGATCCCAATGCTTTTATGCAAAACACAGAGTATGTCAACCATAATATAATTCATCAATCATCACAAGCCTTGAAAGACCTCCTTCACTCATTCTGCACCCGTTATTCACATTTTCCTTGTTTATACAGTGCAGTACATATTCACTCTGCCAGCTATCAGATCATCCACGTTTTCCTGCAACAGCAGACAGCTTCTGTCAAACAGAGATTCATTAAGCATTTTAAGCCATACAGTAGTCCAAGTATTGATCAGTGGTGCAGACACTGGGCTGAGTGAATGTTAATGAGCTCTAATTTTTCTTACTGTCACTTATAGTTAAAAATCAACCATAGGCATTATATAGCCACCTGCCTGTCAAGTAAACAATTCATTTCATTCTAAAAAATGGCATAAAGGAACAAAAAAAACTACCAGAAACTCCATCATTAAATAATTATGTCTGCTTGCTGACTCTGAAATATAATGATGTAAATTTTAACATCAGGTTTAATGGGCTAATAGTTGAGTTTCCTTAAAAAAGATACAGTCACGACGAATATCTTACACAGCCAACTTTAATTTCTATTTCTTTTACAGTTCAGTAGTCTCAGGACTTTTTTGCCAAATTTTCAGGCTGTATTTGAGGGAAATTGTCTTTTTCAGAGAAGACACTGGTACATCAAAAACTAAACTGTCAGTAACTATCTAGAAAGCAAATTGAATTTAATTTCACATTTATATTATCCATGCTAAAGTGATTCTATTTCTGATTTTATACTTGATTTAAGAAAAATGACAATTCAAGAGATGGTTAATTTTACTTTTTTTTTTTTAACCCATATCATTTTATGAAATGTGTTCTTATATCAAATATGCCCTTTATCATTGTCCTACTATTACATCTAAATATCAGAATAAATTGAACAGGAAGGGCCACCTTTCCATTTAGAATAGCTGGGCCTCCTACGCGATGTGTACAGACTCTCAGAGGGAAGGTGAAGCCTGGACTTCTGCAGGGTACAGACCAAAGAGACATGCACAGTAATATCAGTATCATGACCAACAATTAGAAATGTGATTAAACAGTTAAATGCAATGGACTTAAATTCCATTAAAACATCTAAGGCTTTAATGGTAGCAGCGCCAGACCACTAATGGTTAGCAGGAGATATGCCACCATGGATGCTTAAAGTTCCTGATTACGGCTATAAATCAGCAACAATAGTGACTCAGCAAGCTCTTTTGGTATCTGCTGTTTCTTTAATACAAGGTGAAGAAAAACTTAGAACTTGCAGGTCTGTAGAAGGTATGAAATACTCCAAATATTTATGCTCCGAGTAAATGCAGAATCTTACAAGATTGAAAATTTGAGCAAAGAAATAGCAGATTAAACTCACTATAGGCAAACATGGTGTAATATGCAGGAGAAAAAACAATCCTAATCACATAAATAAAATGGACCTCAAGATGGATGTGAGTAATCAAGACCTTAGAAGGAAAATTGCCCAAGTTCTAGAAAAACAATCAAGCTCAATATTCAATAGCAATCAAAAAGAGAAGCAAAAAAATAGAAACATCTAGGAAAAGAATAGGAAAAAAAAGCAGAAAATTAATTACATCACTATTTAAATCCATGGCACCCAGCTGAAATGTTGTGTGAGAAATTTCCCTCATAGCAAAGGGAATCCAGTGGAACTGAAAAAAGGGTTCAAAAAAGGCAATTTGAAGGACAAACAGGAACGGGAATTGCCTCTGTTCAAGTGAAAGCTGATCAAGCTGATGCTGTCAGCCTAGAAAAAAGTAGCTTAGAGGATAAGGTAGAGGTCATCTGCCTAAACTGATAGACTTAGGAGAATACTTCAGCCATTCTTTTTTACATAATTTCTGCACGCAGTTCTCCAAAGGAGAGCCAGAGGATTCACTTTAAGTATCCCTTTCAAGAATAATTGACAAAGACCTCTTAAACAATTTCCTGTTACAGAAAGCATAATGGGGCATTTAAAACAACATTCCTGAACTTACCTCTCTTTTCAATTTGTTCAGTGACTTCAGCTAATTCAAAAACTCCAACTTCCTGATTGAAATTCACAAGTGTACATGCAGTATTTATTAAGTCAAAATTACAATATATTATAAAAGCTTTAAGCGAAAATCCAGTAAACTCCTGTCAGAAATTTTTACCTTTATTGTCAAGTCCCAGAATTTCATAATCTGTAGAAATTGCACTGTATTGTACTGCTACAAATAATTATTGGTTTAACAGTAGAAGCAACAGAGCTTTATGTCACAGCAAGACTTTACTAACTGCATCTTTACAGAAACACCGAATTGACCAAACAACTTATCAAACAGTTCTAGTCTAGTATCAACTGAACTGGAAAAAAGCTAAAAATACTTTTAACTACTCCTCTGAAATTGAATACTAAAATATTCATACTGAGTCTTGAAAGCCATCATGTAGAAAAAGGAATACTTCTCGCCTTTAAAATTCTCTTCCAAAGGAATTATCCCATAAGTGTTCATGTAAAAACATTAATGCTGTGACATGTGGTGAACTCTTGTATGAAGCAGCACATAAAATTTATATACTTCAGGCTCATATCATTTTATTTTCTCAGGAAAAAGCAAAGAGACTCAATGAAAATAGTCCCATTAGGCAACTGTAATGAGATGCACCAAGAAAAAAAAAAAAACAACCCTGCTCTATAATACTTACAGACACTGAAAAAGATTGTGTAGTGCCACATTCATACAGATATGATGTACTCATTCAATCATATTGGGATGAATAGTGCTGTTTCCTATCAATTTCTGATTCAGCACAGGTCTGCCCTGCAGTAAGAAAGAGTGACTAGTTGATGATATGGTAAGAAGACATTAACATTAAAATGGACAAAGAGAAATTAGTTGAGCCATATTCATTCATCATTACTTCAGAAACCTTTATCAGGTATAGCTGCACCCAAACACCTTAAGGCATTTGTTGTCCTAATTTTCACTCCACAATGTCAGCAGTTCAAGAACAGGGGCAAGTTTCATACACTGATTCCTCAATATATGCGTGAGCAGGTTTATGTTTCAGTGGGATACTTTTGGCTTTCTCTTTGTTTGCTTGTTGTTGTTTGTTCTTTGGTTTTATTTTATTACTGTTGTTCTGTTATTTTAATCTCTCTGGGTAAAGTCACGCTTGCCATTTTATTGGCCAGCAGCAAGTGTTTGCAGACATAGCTTAACTTTTTCCTTCAACAATAAGATGGTGAGGAACATAAAATCGGTACTCAAAGTGGTCCATAATTCAAAGAACTTTAATGAAACAATATGAAAGGCCTTGTAACAGGGAAGACAGCAAAATCAAGATGAGGCTTGGCTGAATAACAA